TATCATTTTTTTGCAAAAAATTAAAAACATGCTAATTGTGCTTCATTTTATTTCGAATTTAGTTGGGTTGGATTTCGTTGTGCTGAACGTTTAAAGGGGTTTTTCAAGTTTATTAAGTGTTTTTTCTTTGAAATGAACCACCCGCAGCAAGAAAATCGAAATTTGTCAAAAAGTGACTGTTTTAGAATCGTTACTCTTCGCGAAGAAGGATACACTCAAGTAGAACTCGCTGAACGTTTTAACGTCACCCAGTCAACAATTTCAAGAGTGTTAACACGTTTTTCTGTTACTGAAAGTAACTCGAGAAGACCCGGTCAAGGCCGTAAAAGGGTTACAACTCCTAATCAAGACCGGTTTTTGACACTTCGTACACTGAGACAAAGGTTTGTTTCCAGTACTTCTCTACAAAATGAATTTTTGGATCGTTATAACTTTGGAATATGCCAAAATACAATTAGAAGAAGACTTGCCGAAAACGACCTACACCCTGGAAGGGCACCAATTGGCCCATTATTGACCAGAGACCATAGAAGGCAAAGATTGTATTTTGCTCGTGAACATGTTGATTGGAATAATGACGATTGGGGAAGAATATTGTTCACCGATGAATCCAGGTACTGTCTTTTTTCTGATGACAGGAGAAACCGAGTGTATAGAAGGCCTGGGGAACGCTACGCACAGTGTAACACCGTAGGGACTGTACAGTATGGCGGCGGCTCGGTAATGGTATGGGGTGGGATTAATTTAGAGGCTCGTACGGAATTAGTTAAAATAAATCACGGTCGGCTTACATCGCAGAGGTATATAACAGACATTTTAGAAGAGCATGTCGTGCCATTTGTACCATTTATTGGAATAATTTCATGCTTATGCAAGATAATGTCAGGCCACACACGGCAAGAATTGTGCAGCAGTATCGTCAGGAGGTTGGAATTCCTGCCATGGATTGGCCTGCGAGAAGTCCTGACCTTAACCCAATAGAACATGTTTGGGACATCATAGGCAGATGACTACGACAACTACCTAATGCACCAAACACATTAGATGAACTGTTTTTGCGGTTGGTTTTAATTTGGGATCAAATTGATCAAGAAGAAATCAGAACGATTATTCTCAGTATGAGAGATCGTTGTCAAGCAGTAATAAATGCCAGAGGAGGCAATACTCGATACTAGTACACGGTAGTAGTATTTTCTTCAACTTTAAAAACTTTTTCTTCATTAATTTATGATGTTAGTTTGTTTAGATCAGTTCGTTTAGATGTTCTGATTTATGTTAGGATGTTATATTATTAATTTCAATACATATTTTGTAAAAAAGAATAGTTTTATTTAAGATGTTCTAAAACAACCATAAAACAGAAAAGAACAAACAAAATTTTTTTTATTACAACTCAAAATAAGAATTTTTAAAATTATGCGTTAATTTTGGAGCGCAGTGTATATTCTGGAAAATTTTACTTTTGTCTTACTACTATTAGTAGAAAAAGTATTAAAATAATAAGCAACTTAAATATTTATGTAGTATTGTTATAAATAATATCTTTTAATAATAAATTTTATAACCAATTTGAATACCACATATATCTGTAGTTTTGATCTCTGGGTAGGTTGAGTCCTTACGTTAACGTGGCCAAAGAAATTGCCTTGCTCTTAAAGGAGATACCTACAAATACACAGTCTAACCACAGAGGACGATTATTACATAATTATATGAATGTAATAAGCTTTAAAATCTCTATCATTGTCTTTTGTTTCTTTTAAACTTGAGTTTTGAGTTTTTAATGAGGTTTCATTTTATAAAAGAGGTAGATAGATGATATTAAACATATCGTGAGCAAGGAATAGATGATAATTGCTCAGAGTAGACATCAATGGAATCAAATAGAAGATGCCTATGTCCAGCAGTGAATGAGCATGGGCTGAAGAATAACTAGAATGCACGTAGGAAGCCTTGTTTACACCGTACAGTAGCTATTTTCGAACTACCTTCTTACTTCGTCAAACTTCGTCTGACCTCAAACTCGCATTGCTTGATTTTTTTTTAATTTCTCACTTCAGTTAAAGCCAACGTTTATTCCATTTACAAAACAAAAACAAAAACCATGTACAACGAGCTAGTGGATGTCAAATGTCAATCATGATATACGGCTGCGACACTTGGACACTAAAGAAAGAAATGATATCGAAACTCAAAGTCACTCAAAGGCCAATGGAGCGATACATGCTAGGTACAACAAAAGGGATTCAAAACTAATAGAATGGCTCAGACAGAAAACCAAGGTCACTAATATAATCTAAAGAATCAATTCTTTGAAATGGCTGTGGTTAGGACATTTAGCGAGAAGAACTGAGAATAGATGGTCCACTAGAATTACCTGCGGTATCCAAGAGGCGTCAAGAGACCAAGAAGACATTTAGATTTAAGATGGGACTGTGACATAAGAAAACAAATCGATACTTTTGCATTTAAAAGCGAATATTTGACAATCGTGAGAAAAAATGAAGAACGAATATGTAAAGGAAGCTGCACCATAATCTTTAGAATACGCTGAGAATGATGATGATGATGATGATCATGATGATGATGACGATGATGATGATGATCTAGATTTTTATACGCTTCTGATTTAGCAATCGCTAATGTTATTTTTAGAAATTCTGGTAATCTAAGCTTGAGGTTGTGATTTATTGCCCCTTCACCTTTAAAAAATGTTCATCTTATCGCTTTCCTTGCTAGCAAAAAAAATGGTACATGAATATAGGAATATGTAACATCGCGAAGCAATCAGAAGTTATCATTGAACTAGAAAAACAGAAAATGAGTATCGCTGATTTGCCAAAAACTAAAGGGAAAGGTCAAGGTGTAGAAGATATCAAAAGTTATATCCGTATATACACTGGAGTTAACAAATTAGTAAAAACGAAGAAAGGCATACAGGTAAAAAAGTGGTGATAACTGGAGTATATGCTACAATTGACAATGCTTTAAATCAACAAACACAACGTTCTACAATCAGTTAATGACTCTGTTTAATTAATCAGCACGAGGTCTCTTTATTTTCAAACATATTGTCTAAGTATTTTCCAAGTATTTCAATAGCAGTATTTTTATTAATATAAGCTATATTTCTTTTTTTTTGTATAAAAGATAAAAAATAAAAGTTAAAACGGGGAGTCCGATAAGGCGATATAATTTCACCTAAACTGTTTAACTTGACCCTTGAAAATCAACAGATTGGGAAAACAGAGGAATATGTATTAACGGAAAGTACCTAAATCACCTTAGATATGCGGATGATATACTCCTGATCTCCTCGGAACGACAAGAACTGGAATTAATGCTGAATGAACTTTATGAAAAATCACTGCAAAAAGGAAAAAAAATTAACTTCAACAAAACAAAAGTAATGACAAACACAGAAGACCAAGAGGCAATAAAATACAAACAGAAAAAACAGAACAGGTAAATGAGTATATCTATCTAGGATAAGCAATCAAAGCTAACAGAGAAAATCAAACAGCCGAAATATCGAGACGAGTAAGAATGTGATGGGCAGCGCAAACTTTCTTACGTTCTAAAAAATCAAACAATCCCTCTATGCTTACGAAGCAAGGTATATAACTTCTGTATAATACCGGAGCGATGATAAGAGCGATGGATAGACAAATGTTGAATGTATCACTTAAAGACAGAAAACGTAACCAGTGGATCAGGACCAGAACAAAGACAGTAGACGCGATAGAACAAGCAGCAAAACTGAAATGGAAATGGGCTGGACACAATGAACGTCTCCAAGACGGACGATGGAACAAAGCCATCTGAAAGTGGCGTCCATACAATGCAAAGAGATCAAGAGGCAGACCACAGATGAGGTGGAAAGATGACATCAGGAAACAAGGAGGTCCCACATGGCAGAGAACAGCTCAAGATAGGGAAAGATGAAGAGAACTGGGGGAGACCTATATCCAACAATGGAAGGATAGAAAATAGGTTAAAAAAAAGCTATATTCCTAATAATTATATTAGGACTTCCTTTCATATTCTAGCTCATTGTTCCTGTTATTTTGCCATGATTATACGTTCTTTTCTGCATTGTACCGTTCATTGAATATCCTACAAGAACTACAAGAATTCGGATATCCAATCAACAGTTGTACTAAGAGAGCACTGTTTTCGAGTTTAGATTGAACAAGACTGAAGAGTGAACATGAGTGTGTTAATATTTTAAAATTATTTTATATTTTTTTACACCAATCCTGTGTAAGAACTGTGAACTAGTAGCAGCAGAGACAGTATCCTTAATATGATCAGCAGAAAACAACTTTTATCAAATATTACTCGGTGATCTTTAAAATTTTGATTTTTTTTAAATGCTTTGAATTGATTTAGCGGTCAAAGTTTGCTGGTAATTCTTTGTAAAAGCTATTTGATGACACTTACTTATATTTATTGAGCTAATTCAATTTCTAAGTCGATGTAAAAGAATGCAATGATCTATTTAGTTAAAAGCTTTCTGAACATCGGTATAATTCACGCTAACCTGGTATTTGTCGACGAATACTCTTAGATATAAGTTGTGTAAGGACGGCTAAGATAAATTCCCACAAAATAGGTTAACTACACCAAAAAATGTTAAATTTTTAAAATAAGTTGTTTCATCAAAAATAAATACCTCAATCTCAAAAAAATAATTGAAAAATAATAAAAAAAGAAAATATATAAGAAAGAGCTAAAAAATTTATATAATTACACCTTACACCACTTGTTTAAGAGTAAGATAAGAAAGCTATCCTTTAAAAAATCGAAATGAAAATAATGTAAATGTTTTAAATATTTGTAAATAAATGTATAATAAAAATAATGTATATTAAAATGTATAAAAATAAAATATTGTATAATGTTTGTAAATAAACCATTTACAAAATAAAACTGAATCATTTTTAAGATTTCCAAAACGGTATCTAGCAATTAAGTTTCCAAAAAAGGCATCCACTCACCTTAACGTGCTAGAATGTCACTCCTGCGAACATTCAAAAATTTAAGTTCACTTCCGAAGCGCGCACTTTTCAGGACTAAATAATATCGACAGACACATGATGGTCTTCGATGGTGATGTCTAGGTCGCGCACAAGAAGGTCGTCCGATGAAGACATTTGTACATTTCGGCCGCAGGAAACCAGACATACCGGCAGGATATTGAATTCATCGTACTAGACAGTAGGCAACACGTTCAACAACTCAACGTATACAGTGTTGCGCGTATTATTTCCGTCAGATATTGATTTTTGTTAAATTAGAAAACCTGTATAGAGAATGGCCAGATAATTGTAATAGATTAAAGGAGATTTTACTGTTTTTATCCAATTTTCACTGCTTTTTTTCATAATATATTTATAGGGTGAAAAGGATGCGCAAAATTCTTGTTTGGGATCTTTTGTAAGAGTAGTATTGTATATTTGTATTGTATGTAACTGTCGTGTTATCAAAGAGGGGTTACAAATAATAATCGTTACTTCACAACATCAGTTTATTCTCAACCCTCAAACATACATGCTTGCCCGAGCTTCGGCTACGTTCCCATGACATCCCTGTCATCTTGTTGCCTAACTCCGGCGCCTATATCTTAATCTAAGCTAACAACACATCTCCTTTTTTTTATAAAAGATCCCTGTGTCATTAATGATCTTATACCTAAACTAACTTAAACTACTACAAACATAATCTGTTAAATGAACCGGTTTCTTCACAAGTCTTTTTGGCCTGCTAGGCTTTACGCACTCAAAGTCCGATACACTATCGCTTTTATCCTGACCCGATGGAGGTAAAACATGATTTCCACTTTGTTCGATTTTGTCCTGAAATACACTGGGTTCCCCCCTACTACTTTCCTCCATTATTTTACCCTGTATGTCACCATTGCTTTGATTAGAGCAAGGCATTAGCTTTGTGTTACTAGAAATTGGCGGAACATAATCATTTGAGGATTCTGGTTGGGTGCTCAATACAGGGAAACAGTAGGGTGCATGAATCAAATGCCATCTATTTCTTCTAAATTTCCCGGTTTCAGTTTCAATTATATAGGACCTGGGTTCCTGACAGATCGCAACAACTCGCCCATATTTCCTGATATCAACCACCCACACAGAATCACCAACCTTAAGAGGATCTAAATCCTTGGCATTGTGTCGCTTATTGTAGTTTTTCACTTGTTTATCCTTTATTTCATTCTTTTTATTTTTAGTGTTTGGTTCTTTTGAAAAGTTTAATAAGCTTGGAAGCTGGGGTAAGTTAGATCTTAATTTTCTATTCATTAATAATTCAGAAGGTGAAACACCACATTCTAGGGGTGTACATCTATATGCTAACAATGCCAAACTTAGGTCCTCTTTTTTATTTTTCTGAATTAATCTTTTTGCAATTTGTACAGTGCGTTCCACTCCACCGTTGCTCTGAGGCCAGTGCGGACTGCTCGTCGTATGAACAAAATTATATTCTTTTGAAAACTTTATAAATTTTGATGAAAATTGAGTACCACAGTCGGATCTAACTTCCTCTGGGATACCATAACGAGAGAAAATATCTTTAAGCTTAGGAATAATGGCATCTTCTGTCATATTGGTTAAAGTAAAAATTTCAAACCAATGTGAAAAGTAGTCAGTGGCAATCAAATACCACTTATCATAACATTTAAACAAATCAACCCCCAGTTTTTGCCACGGCCTTTGTACAGTATTGTCTTTATGAAATGTTTCTCTATGATTTACTCTGTGTTCAACACATTGGGGACAATGTGTGACAAGGTTATTAATCTGGGATGACAAACCCAGCCACCAAACGCTCTGTTTGGCACGATCTCGACATTTTACAATTCCCATATGGCCTGTATGAATAAATTCCAACACCTTGAGTTGAAGACTCTTAGGAATGATTATGCGAGACCCTTTTAAAAGTAATTGTTCCGAATAGGAAATTTCATATCTATATTGATAGTATGGCAACAATTCAAATGGCAATTTAGATCTTTCAGGCCAAGAAGACAAAGAATATTCTTTTAGTTTTTTACAAATATATTCATTTTCTTGTTCTGTTTTTATTAAATTCAAAAAATAATCTTTAATTGGTAAATTATGAATAATTGACTGCACATATGCTGCAGTTTCAGCAGTTAGTTCTTTATTAGCTAACGTATCTGTTTGTAAAGGGGCCCGACTTAAAGTATCTGCTACAATTAAATTTTTTCCCGGCGTGTAGATTACAGTATACTTGTATCGCATTAAACGCATTCGAAATCTTTGCAAACGTGGCGTTAACTCATCTAAATTTTTAGTTTGCAGAATTTGTAGTAAAGGTTTATGGTCTGTTTCAAAAATTAGGTTAGGAACTCCTGAAATAAAATCATAAAAATATTCTGCTGCCCATGTAAGTGCAAGAGCTTCTTTCTCAATCTGAGCGTATCGTGTTTCAGCTGAGTTCAGAAGCCTAGATGTAAAAGCCACTATTTCCCGAGTATGATCTACATTTTCTTGAAATAGACATGCACCTATACCAAAACAACTTGAGTCTGCACTAACAATTATGGTTTTATTAGCATCAAAAAACGCTAGATTTGGAGGGCTCTCTAACTTTTGTTTTAAAGTGCTGAAAGCTTTATCTTGTGCTGGACCCCACAAAAAGTTAATATTTTTTTTTAGTAAGTGTGTTAATGGTTCAAGAATCTCAGATTTATTATGAATGTATTTTGCAGCAAAATTAATCATACCCAGCCATCTTGACAGCTCAGTCTTATTTTTTGGTTCAGGAAAATCACGGATAGCTTTAACCCTATCTGGATCAATTAATATCCCTTGCTCAGAGACCATATGACCCAAGTATTTAGCTGTTTTTGTTGCTATAGAGCATTTGTTTTTATTTAGTGTAATACCTTCCTTATGAAGTTTTGTTAGGACTGTGTTCAAAATATTGTCATGTTCCTCTATTGTCCTTGCATGAATAAGAATGTCATCTATATGGACAACACAGCCTTCAATGCCAGTTAAGATTTTTGAAAATCTCATAGTAAAATACTCTGGGGCACAAGATATACCAAATGGAAGCCTTTTAAAGAAAAATCTGCCAAAAGGTGTTATAAAAGTTGTTAACAACTGACTTTCCTTATTCAATTTTATTTGGTAAAAACCCACTTGTGGTATCCAATTTTGAGAAGAATTTAGACCCTTTCAACTGTGCTAGTGTATGAGATATTTTCCCGAGAGGAAAATGTGACCGTAACACGTTTTCATTAAGTTTAGTATAGTCACCACAAAGCCGTACACAATCTCCCTTGTCCACACAAACAATTGGGCTGACCCAAGAAGTAGGATCTTCAATGGGTTCAATTATCCCTAATTTTAGCAATCTATCAATTTCAATTCTTAATTTTGGTAACAGAGGTAAAGGAACAGTTCTGGGAACGCTCTGTACATAAGGTTTAGCATCTGGCTTAATTCTAATTGACATTTCCATTTTAAAATTCACCTATATCACTAAAAATACCAGGAAATGTTTTAGCAACAGACTCTAAATTAAATTTTGAAAACATATTAGTACTCTCAGATTGATTACAATGAACAACACTGCAACTGATTTGATTTACCTGTTTAAGCTTACAATTAGAAAAATTTAGAACATTAAACTTAATGATTGATTCTCTGCTTAATATAGGTTGTCTCAACTTCCTAATACAATATATTGTTTCATCATTTGTAAAACCGTCATAAGTAAATTTTATATGTAGCTTACCCACTGTGTCCAATTTATGATCGTCCGCTGCACCAATTGCATCACATGCCACAATTTTACCCACATATTCTGGAGGTAATTTTTCATAGGGAAAGCAGTTAACATCTGCTCCTGTATCCACAAAAAAAGGTACCTTAAATTTGTCATCCAATAAGATGTCTACATACCAACGATCCTTCTTGTCTAGGTACACTTGGCCAATAAAGGAATCTGTATGTACCACTTGATTTACTGAATCCCTTCCTTCGTCATCTGTACTACTGCTACTGGTGGACCTTGAACACTTAACAGCTCTGACAGCTTTCTTCCTGCACATCACACTCCAATGACCTCTACGTGAACAAGATCTGCATTCAGAGAACTTGGCTGGACATTTCTCCCTATTTTTACATGTAGGTATGCCACAGTATCCACATCTGTAACCTTCCTTAACTTTCTCATGAGTTGTTTCTTGTTTAGCAAAACTCTTACCTTGATGTCTTTTATCACTACGCTCCCTGTAGTCCTGTTTAACTGCACTAACTGACTGCTCCTGTCTCATAATTCTATTTTGACTATCTTGAAGTTCAGCTTGGCGTGCTATTTGTATTGCCTTCTCTAGTGTCAAACCATCATTTAGTTGCATTCTTTCGCTCACCTTTTTATCAGCTATTCCGATAACTATCCTGTCACGAATTAACTCATCTTTAAGAGCTCCATAGCTACAGTGCTCTGCAAGAGTATGTAGACTTGAAATAAAGTTTCCCACAGGTTCTCCTGGCCTTTGTACCCTTGAATTAAATTGAAATCTCTCAAAGATTGTATTTCTTCGGGGAATAAAATGATTGTCGAAAATCTGCATTACATCTTGAAAGGATGCATTCTCCACTGGTTGATTTTGAAGTAAAATATCTTCTGCTTCATTTCCCATTAAATACAACAGTAGGTCTAATTTATCCTTGTCAGATTTTTGTCCAAATCCACTTACAGACATATATCTCTCTACTCTTTTCTTCCATTGGGGCCATGTCTGGGGCTGTGTAAAATCAAATTCGCTTGGAGCCGAAATGTTCGCAAACACTTCTTTATTTATTTGGATAGGTGCATCCATTTTAAGGATTTTAGGTCCCCTCTGATTTATAGGTTATGCATAAGATTTGCACTGTTGTCACGTTCGACCACTCTTTGCTTGTTTAATGTTAACAAAACAAAGCACCAGCTGCCACCATGTCGTGTTATCAAAGAGGGGTTACAAATAATAATCGTTACTTCACAACATCAGTTTATTCTCAACCCTCAAACATACATGCTTGCCCG